TTCCCATATCCCATCTCTTACCTGTAAACAAATCCTTAAAGTCTCGTCATTTCAGTCCTGATGTCAGCAAACGTCCATTAAGGGTTACCAGAGATAACAACATACCTATTTTAACCTTGATCAAATCAACCAACTTTATATTCCTATATTCCTTCCTTTTACTTTTAACAATCTTGATCTTTAGTCCCTTTAAATAATCTCCTAGAACCTGATTTCTTTTCATTTTTTCTTTGTCCCTTCTCACAAAATTCTTCAAAGTTTTAACAAGCCTCTTTTGTAAATGCAATATAGAAAAATTATCCAGGTCATTCTCTGGGTTTATTTGTATATCCCTTTTAATTATTAAGAGATCAGCTGGTTTCTTTTCTGTGTCCAGTGTAGCATCTTTTTCCATATCATTCTTGCAGCCTGTCATTTTTAAATCCACTTTCAGATCAGTCTCAATCAAGTCAGGTACTACTTGTTCCTCTTCCATAGCATCTTTTAAACACAGTATGTCTCTATAAGCAGACACTCTTAAAATTAACTTCTGGGTCCATTGTTCAAAAACATCCTTCAATATGTCCAGGGTTAAAATATTTTGCTTCATTCTGTGGAATTTGAGTGTTCTTCTCTTTTAATTATAATCTTTAGTTCCTTCTAGTTCCCTCTAGTGTCCAAGTTTTAAAGTCTTATTATGCTATTTTTTTTTAAAGAATTCAAAACAGAAGCATTTTCCCACAGGGAGGATTCTTTATAATTAATGCCAAAAACTTATTTCAAATTTATCTGGACCCTTAGTCCATTTGTAACTTTTCAAAATCAAAGTTCTAATCACCGTTTTGCTGTTTATTCCAAAAAAAAATTTTTTAAGTCCTTAAACTTGTATTTAAAACTTCTTTCGCTAAGGATTGAAGGAAACTCACCCGGTACTATAAAACCTGTCAATCCAAAGGTTCCTAAGATCGTCCAGAGAGGAATTACAAAGAGCTGGTCTACTCATAAATCATTATTTACAAACCACCAGGACTAGATTCACACAGCAGGCTAATCCAAAACCAAACTACATCGTGATGTAGTCCAACATGTGAATCTGGTCACTGAAGGTAAATCTTAGCACAATGACAAATATAAGTAAAAATAAATCACATCAGATTGCTATTTCAGCTTCTTTCTTCATTAAGTTCCTGCTTTTCTACAAGGAGAATTTTACAAAAAAGCAATGTCAAGAGGACTTCAGTGGCCCAGGAGATATGGTGCCTATTTCATCTCTAAATCTCAAAACGGGCAGGTGATCTAGTGGGAAAGAGATGGAATTGGAAAAGCGAAAGTCCAAAAAAAGAAACATTCAAAATATGAATGTTAAAAAAGTCACTGTAATAC